TTTCGGACATTTTTATCTATCATCTTCACAAGTGCCTCTATCGATGAGGGCTGCTCTCCGTGCCTTCTTCTATTCCGTTCACACCAAATCGAATGTATGGAGTTCTGGAAAATATACCTTAACAAGAAGTTCTTTGTTTTGTCAAGTACGTTTTCCGCGAGGATCTTTAATATCTCACTCCAACTCTCCGAGAATCTGTTTAAGAGAATTCCCTTTGCCAAAGTCTTCCAAATCTGTTTTGAGTAATGACATGTAAAGAATAGGTGTTCCCTTGTCTCCACCTGTACATTACAAAAAATACAACTTGGATTCACATTACTAGTCCATTTCAACATTCTCTTCCCCGTGCAGATTCTGTTTTTCAACACCAGCCAAGTAAGAAACGCAAATTTTGGGGTTGCATAAGAGAACCATATCTCCTTATGTCCCTCCATCGGTGGCTTAGCAATACGCAGCAACGACCATGTTTCTCCTGTTATAAACTTCTTACGAAAGCAGCCATTTTTTCCTTTCCACAATGCTATATCACGGTCCATTGTTCTCTGGTTTAACCTTTGTTTTTGAATTTCTTCTTCCACCAGATTAAGGAGATTATGTCGATGGTTCCTTCTGCGAGTCATAGTCAGCACTTCCTTTTCTGTACTTGATAAAGGAATCCCCAGTGTGGATGTCGGATTCACACACTCAAGTATTTTTATTAATAGGGAAGATAATTCTTGAGGGACAAAAAATAAGAATGTAAAAAGCTTATGAATTGCTACAAAAATTGCTATAGTATTTCTTGCTTCAGAGAACGATCCCCCTTTACATGGCCATTGGCCTTTATATTTATACATAGAAGAATGACATTTAATGGGCTAATTAAGTACAATTATTCTCTCTTAAATGTGACCGTTTTGATCTTTGACTTTAATGCTAAATGTTCGAATTTGAATTGATTCTGATCTTCATGGGCCTCGCCTTTTGGCCCAAATGTCCTTGAACCGATTTAACCATGACTTCGTCTACAGAGTGGTGTTGAGGTGCAGTCACTTCGGATTCTCCTTATAGTGATAACCACTTCGACTGTTCTTTTGACTTGTGGATCTAATGGACTTTATCCTTTATGGGCCGTTATCCTGACTAGGTGGCAATCTTTGGTTGGTCCCGAACATCTGGTGCGGGATCCGACACCAACAATTAGCCCCCCAAGTTCTTCGAAGTGCCATTCCAATTCGGAGGACTTTAAATGTTTTTATGACCAAAGATTGCGTTCTGAGGAATCTTTTGATTTTCCCGCCAAGATCCCGTTAGTCCTTTAATTTCGGCGCTATCCATGTTTAGTAGTGTGACATCTGTCACCATTATGACCGTATCTTAATTATTTTCTATTAAAGCGGGAAACCTTTCCACTTCCCCCACGATTCCCAAGGCGGTTTCATCATTATCACTTAGCTTTCGTGAGGTAACTTCTTTCATCATCACTTTTACTCTTACGATTTAATCGAAACTTCTCTCTTCTCTTTCTTCGCCGATTTTCTCTTTGCCGGATTTTAAATTTCTCCTATTCTCCGATGACTTCTGATTCCGAAAGACCCGAGTCTCCATCCTTTGAAGGTGGCTCCAGTAATGACGAATGCACTCGTCCTAACGACATAGCTGGTCCACACTACAGATCCACCTGTACCCTTCAATCCTTAGAGCGATTTAAAGGGCTTTGCCAGATTCCCCCTGGAATCATAGCGGAAGCGCAGATAGCCGACCCTACGGAGTCCCCGGAAAATCATCGCGACGGCTACTTTTGCGTTTATAAAATCTACTTCAAGGGCTGCGGATTGACCTTCCCCCTTCCTGAAGCCCTGGTTCGATACTTGGCAGCTAACCCCCAATCTTCTCCGAACCATCCTCGGGATCATAACCGTTACGGCGGAAGCAGACTACATTATTGGGGTCCCCGAGCTGAACGAACTTCTGAGCGTGAGAAGTTCGTCAAAGAAGACAGGGTACTTCTCGGCGTATCCGAATGCCAACAGGAACGTCACCTCGCACCTCCCAAACAAGGATGAAAACTGGCACCATCCTTGGTTCCTGATTAAGAAAACTCCTACTTGGATTGGAAATCTTTCCGATGTACTCCCATCGAAGTGGACTGCAAAGCCCGGTAGAAACTAGGTCGTATATTCCTTTCCTGGTTGTTTTATTTTTTACTGACCAAACTCGTTGTTTCACTTCGCAGCTGTCATCGCTTCGTCTCTTCCGACTGAAGAATTCGTCAAGTTCTTCAAAACAATCCTTGAAGGGGAAACCCTTTGGAATTCTTTCACCCTCGATCGGTTCGTTGAAGCCAATCGAAAACTCAGGATGAGTCCCCCCAATCAACTTCATCGTCTTCCGCTTCCTCCCTCAACTCAGGGAATGTCAGCTCGGGCCTTCACTGCCCAGCGTAAGAAACTCTCCAAGCCGATAGCAGAGGCTTGTGACGAAAATAAGGCGTTCCTTGCGGCCGCCATCGACAAAAAAGACTACAGCAGGACCCTGCTGGTTGATGACAACAGCACCGAGGGAGCCAGATCCGACGCTGCTTTCAGATTAACTCCTCGTCGCGAACGTCGTGACAATCGTTCTCCTCGTCGCGAACGTCGTGACGATCGGAGGGACCGATCTCCTCGTCGTGATTCTCCTCGTCCTCCCCGAGATGATTTTAGCAATGAACCACTTAAGAACTTGGTTCGCAGGAAGAGAGACAAGTCATCTCGTAGTGATTCCTCTCCGCGAAGGGAGAAATCAAGAGCCCGGACTGACCGTTCACCACGATCATCCTCTCCCACTGAACCAATGGGTCCTCCTCGACCTGTTGATATGTCTTCCTCTTCCCAGCCCGAGAGCGAGAAGACTTCCCGGAGTGCATCTCCTATAAAGGGAGATTCCGAGTCTCGAGATGCTTTTTCGAAGTTAAAGCCTGCTCTTGTCCCTCAAATCAAATCACTTTCAGGTTTGACGATTTACATACGCTTAAGAGTTTTTATCTCTGCTTAGATTCTAATTTTTACAACTCTTCTTCCTTCACAGCTATGGAGAAAGAAGGCAGTGTTTTCCGATGCTTCAAGACCCGATCGGGCGCGATCTTGCCAGATTTTGACAAGTGGCGCCCTGCGATCCGTGAACGCTACTTGCTTCATGCTCATCATTCATCTCGGGTTAGTTCCGCTTTATTTTTCTTATTGTGCTGCCATTTTTCGAACTGACTCACCATTCCGGTTTTATGTATAATACCAGGCTAACGGCGAGCTTAATGACATGGTTGAGCATTATGAGGGGTTGGTCATTGGTCGGGAAAAGGAGATTGACACGTGGAAGAAAAAACTTTCTGCTCTTGAAGCTGAACTCCGTTCTTCCACCGGCTCCAAGCATGATCTGGAGGACAAGGTCGATAGTCTAACATCCGAGCTTGCGAAGATAAAGGGGGAGCTACAGGACCAGTATGATCGGAATTACAAACTCCAGGATGAACTTTCTGATGTTCAGGGTAGACTTCATGAGTCTGAATCATCCGCCGATACCCTGAACAACCAACTTACCGAGCTTCACGCGAAGTACCAGGCGATCGCCAAGTTGCGTGATTTCGAGTTAGCAAGGTCAGCATCGAAGGCCAGAAAGGAGGTTAAGGGACGCGGGATGGAGTTGATCCAAGGGGCCATCCGCTTCATGCAGACTGAGAAGGCTAGGTCAGATTTGGAATCAGACATCAAGGAACATGAGAGCAACCTGATTCTGTTGGATCAAATCCATGAAACAGATTTCTCCGAGGAGCAAGAAAGGACCGAACTGTCGGCTAATCTTTCAGAAAAGCGGAGTCGCTTGGCAGCTCTTCCTACTTCGACCTTCAACCCGTAGGACTTCGAGGAATTCTTCACTGAATCGCCTCCTATAAGTGAATCGGGTCTAGACTAGGCAGGTAACGCTTGGCTCCCGACACTTACTACCTTTTTCTCACCTTATGTTTTTTTAAAAAAAAAATTGACTGGAACTGTCCTTCCCAGGCTCAAGTGAGACGGAAGATGTCGTCCCACCCGAAGTTCCTGCGGCACCGGCGGTCACCCCGGAGGATGGTTGTACTATGGAGGGCGGACCAGGAGCCCCATCTGACCAAGCGCCAGCCAAGGAGGCGAATGAAACTTCGACTGCCGAGCCGGAGTCCGAGGTGGCTGTTACTCCATAGTGGCTGCGTCCACTTTAAATTGGGGATTGTCCCATTTATTTTAAAACTTAATTTTGAACTTGTTTTTGCCTAAGAAGGCTTTATTATTTCTTTTGAACAAGATATTTGCCTGAGGAGGCTTTTAAACCTTTCTAGGTTTTGACCCCAAGGGGGTTTGGTTAAAATTATGTGCGGGTTTGCAAAGTCCGCTTTTAACCTTTTGTGGCCTTGTGGTTATCTTTCGAGATTTTTAGGCTGATCAGACCTTTCTCTTTAGAATGCGAGAACTGAGCTCGGCTTAACGCGAGTTCCCCACTTCGGGTTTAGTCAACTCGGCAAATTTATTGGGCTTGGGCCTTAGAAACTTTTGTAGTTAATGCGACGGTTGCTCTTTCCCTTCTTATTTCTTGAAAGTAGGAAAAACGGCTCGTCTTTAATGCAATAATTGTCTTTTCTCGATTTTCCAAAAATGGTTTAAACCACTAGGGCACGCCACCATTATTGAATTTTCATTCCCAAGGCAAACCTTAACCCTATTATAAATAGGAGTTTGTCCGGCTTTGATCTTTCCTCAAGAAACTTCATAACATCATATTAATGGAAAACGAAAACATAGCTCCTATTGATCCCGGCAGCCCACTCTTCTTGTCCGGCGACGGCTTTGAACCGGCCTGCGTTCTTTTCCCTCACGCCGTCTTTCACTTTCCTTCAAAGGAGAAGAAAGAGGCTTGCGACTTTATTGACAAGGTTAATATCTGTCGTCTTTGATTAAAAACTTTTGTTTCATCTTATTCATTCATCTTTATGCTAGGTCGCCGACAAACACCGTCGCTTGTGTGAAGAGAGACAGCGGCTAGGCCTCAAAAGGCAAACACTCGAGGCTCGCATTGCTCGGGTGGAGAGGAAGATACGGGATTTGGAAAGTGACCCCTTTCAATGGGAATGGCGGAACTTTGATTCTGTCGCTAAGATCCCGAAGATGCTCCGGATGTATCTCCGTGCTAAAGGAGTTCCGGGTCCCGTGAATGTTCCGGTCCATACCGTTCCATCCGATAGCGAGGAAGAAGACGAGGAGGAGACCAGCACCAGTCGGAAACGCGTTCGGGATCATCCCGAAGTGGATGCCAAGAACAAGGCGTCCACTTCGAAAACTAAACCGGCGATGAAGGAGCCTGTTCCTGAGCCTCTTCCATAAATGTTCTCTAATTTCTTCACTTATTTTGAACTCGTAATGGGCTTCGGCCCCTTTTTATTTATGGAAACATTTGCAATTTTCCTTACTCTTCAAATATTCTCGGAGATGCGTCTTTTAATGCAGGATCGGTTCAAGGGCATAAATCTTTCCGCGAATCACTCCATTATTACGATAGAATCCGCAGCTTCCTAGGAATATGACATTCCTATAAATTATAGTCTCAACTTCTCTTTTCTCCTTACCACTCTTTTTCATTTTAGCAGGTATGGAGTTCAACCTTCGATGTTCAGAATCCTATGTTGCATGGAAACTCTCTTCGAGGTCCGTTTCCCGTTTCTGAAACGTTTCGGAAACGGAAACTCTTCGGAAACACGAAAAACGTCACGGAAACACGTTTCCTAAAAATCTATGTTTGGAAACACGATGGAAACTCACGTTTCCAAAATGGAAACGCGACAAATTCTTTTTATTGACTTTGGAAACTTAATAAATAAAAGTTAAAAATATTAAGATTTATAATACATATAACTAATTTTGGAAGACTCTTAGTTTTAAGATCTTTCTAGCGACAAATTAGATTTGGAGGCATCTTTATATGATCTATGATGAAACTAATAAAGATGAGAATGAAAATGTTGGTCTAAATTAAATATTTGAACTTGAATCTTTTAATCTTTATCTTTTAAATTTTTAGTTAACCTATTTAATATTGATGTTTGGGACTTGTATTGTTTAATTAAACCATTTTTTATAGTTTTATGTTAATGTTATATATATGTATATATTATATATATGTATATGTATACGTTTCCAAAACGTTTCCAATCCCTAATTTTAGAAAAAAATCGTTTCCCGTTTCTGAAACGTTTCGCTTCCACGTTTCCGTTTCCGTTTCCATGCAACATAGTCAGAATCTATGCCCGACTTCTCCAGGATCGGAATGATGAACGAAGATGCCCGAAATGAGCCAAATAGGCGGCCTCTTCCACCTCGCGGCTTCTTAAGATCCCAGATCCGAGCTCCATGTGCTTTGATCAGGGATCTCCCAATCAGAGACCAAGGAACAGCGATGGCGTTCATAGAGGCACTTGCGTTTCAACATCGGAAGCTTACGTTGGAAAAGAGGAGACTCCGGAAGAAGATTAATCGGATGCAGCGCAGGCTTACTACGGTGTCAAGAGACCTTCACGTCCTTGAATCTCACCCTGGAGAATGGGTCGAGCTTGGAATCTCTGACTTCGCTCGAATTCCGGACTGCATGATGCCAATCCTCGACCTTGCTGGTCAAGGAGTTGAAGTGTTCTGCTCGTCAACAAGATCTCCATAACCCGAAGTGTTCGATGAGGGATATTCCATTTTGAATAAACGCTCTAATTCCAATCTCTTGTATGTTCGCATAGCCGAACCTTTTCCTTTAATAAAGAAATAAAACAAATTTTTATTAATAGTTGAACTCGTTTCCGAGCTGCCTACGTACCCATTTCGGGATCAAGCCACACCGTAGTTCATGTACATAAAAAATGCATGTAGCTTTAAACATAAAACTTCTTTAGGTTGATCGCATTCCAAGGTCGCTTGACTGGACTGTCTTCTAAATCTTTCAACCTATAAACACCGTTCCGAACCACTTCGGTAATAATGTAAGGTCCTTCCCAATTAATACCGAGTTTACCGGCACCTTCTTCTTTTTTGTTGTCAAAGACGCGCCTTAACACATAATCTCCCACGAAGAACGGCCTACTTTTAACTTTAGAATTGTAATATCGGGCTGCTGCGTGCTGGTAATTCTGAATCCGAATCAAAGCTTGATCACGCCTTTCATTTATGGTATCTAGTGAATCATTAAGCATTGCTGAATTTTCTTCCTCATTTAATGGTGCTTCTGTTCGGCGAAGTCCGGGCACGTTGAGTTCAGCTGGTACTACTGCCTCCATGCTATAAACCAAAGAGAATGGAGTTTCTCCGGTAGGTCGCCTAGGGGTTGTACGATAGGCCCATAGGACGGGTTGGAGTTCTTCGTACCATCCTCCCTTTAGATGATTCAAACGTTTCTTGAGATTGCTCAATATCGTCTTGTTCGCGGCTTCAGCTTGACCGTTTCCTTGCGGATATCGTGGAGTAGAGTAACTGACTTTGATTCCCCAGTCCGCACAAAAGGCATCAAACTCTTGTGAAATGAATTGTGGCCCGTTATCGGTGACTATTTCATATGGAACTCCATGTCGACATATAATATTCTTCCAAATGAAAGCCTTTACCGCTGAATCCTTGATGCCAACATATGCCTCAGCTTCAATCCACTTCGAAAAGTAGTCCGTCAAGACCAAAAGGTATTGTACACCTCGAGTTGATCTGTCCAATGGTCCAATGATGTCCATTGACCATCTCATAAACGGGTACGGCGCGGAGATGGAAGAGAATAACTCCGAAGGTTGATGGATCAATGGTGCATGGAGTTGGCAGCGCTTACATCTTTGGGCAAATTTAACACAATCCGTGATCATAGTGGGCCAATAGTATCCCATTCTTTTAACTTTAAAAGCCATAGCTCTTCCTGATGAATGACTCCCACATAATCCTTTATGCACTTCGCTCATGACGATTTCGACTTCGGGCCCAAAAATGCATAATAGGTAAGGGTCACTGACACCTCGTCTATATAATGCATCCTTTGATAGACAAAATTTCGCGCTAACGATTTTCATTTTCCTGGCCTGCCACTTATTCTTTGGGAGCTCGCCTGTCATGATGTAGTGCTATATTGGCTCCCTCCAGTCAGCCCCCCAGTCTTTAGCCGGAATTTGGTCAACCTTGTGAAATACTCGTGGCTCCGGTTCGGGATGTTCGTTTGGTTCAAGAACATCCTCCTCGATTAACGGCTCGGTTTCTAATATCGTTTCTGGAATCACATCTTCTGTTAAGACAACAGGTTCCTTGTTAGATGTGTTTGATCCCCTTGACTTCCTCCGTTTGTTGGGCGGAGGTTCGATCTCTGGTTCGCCACGGTCACGTGCCGCTGCTCGAGACCTTGTGACGACGAGGGTTTCTTTGTTGTCTTGAATGCTTCGCTCCAAAATGCATTCTACTGGAATAACTCTTTTCAACTCAGGATCTGATGTTGACGCCAATGCGGCAAGTGCGTCTGCAGTTGTATTCTCCCCCCGAGGTATGCGGATTAATTCGAATTTCGAGAAATCTTTAGATAGATCCTTCACCACTTCGAGGTACGTTTCCATTCTTGAATCCTTGGCTTCATAGTCTCCATTAAACTGGTTAACTACTAATTGCGAATCACAATAACCTAATATTTCCTTAGCTCCAACTCCTTGTGCCAATCGAAGTCCGGCAATCAGAGCTTCGTATTCTGCCTCGTTGTTGGAGGCATTGAATAACAATCGGAATGACTGTTCTAGAATTTCTGATGTTGGAGACTCCAACTTGATTCCCACTCCGGATCCTTGCTTTGTTGAAGACCCATCTACATGTAATTTCCAAGTTTGGTTCTCCGATTGCTCTATCGTTCCAGGTATTGGTAGCTCGGTCAAGAAGTCTGCTAAAACCTGAGCCTTCATACTGATCCGGCTTTTGAATTCTATATCGTACTCGCTTAATTCCACCGCCAATTTCGCCAAACGTCCGGACTGACTTGGACTATGAAGTATTGTTCGGAGTGGCTGGTTGGTTAATACTTCAACCGGATGGGATTGAAAATATGGGCGCAGCTTCCGAGCCGAAGTCACCACCGCGAGTGCGAGTTTTTCCATCATTGTGTATCTGGTTTCCGGATCCATCATTGACTTGCTTACGTAGTAAATTGGATTCTGCTCCCCGCGGTCTTCCCGAACCAAGACTCCACTAACCGCGTGGTTTGAAACCGAAACGTACAAATAAAGTTTTTCATCCACTTCTGGTTTGGACAGTATAGGTGGAGCGGTTAAGTATGCCTTAAGCTGCCCAAAAGCTTCTTCACACTTCTCATCCCAAAGGAATCCTTTGTTTCCTTTTAGAATTTGGTAGAAAGGTAACGACTTATCTGTTGATCTCGAGATAAAACGATTCAAAGCCGCAATCCGCCCAGTCAACCGTTGTACTTTCTTGAAGTTTCTTGGAGATGGCATGTTCAGAAAGGCGTTAATTTGATTTGGATTGGCTTCAATCCCTCTTTCTGTCACGATATAGCCAAGAAATTCTCCGGATGGGACTCCAAATGTGCACTTCGCCGGGTTCAGCTTCATTTGATATTTATTGAGAATATCAAAACATTCCTCTAAATGCTTAACGTGATCTTCTTTCTTTAACTATTTAACCAACATATCATCTATGTAGACTTCCATTGTTTTCCCGAGATGATGGTGGAACATTTTATTAACCAACCGTTGATAAGTTGCCCCTGCATTTTTCAAACCGAAAGGCATTACCTTATAACAATAGATACCTCTATCAGTGATAAATGACGTTTTTTCTTGGTCTTCGGGGTTCATCATTATTTGATTATAACCCGAGAAGGCGTCCATGAATGTTAACAGCTCATTCCCAGCGGTGGATTCTACAAGTCGATCTATATGCGGGAGCGGGAAACTGTCTTTGGGACATGCTTTATTGAGGTCTGTGAAGTCGATGCAAACCCTATCTTTCCCATTCTTCTTCTTGACAACGACAGTGTTTGCTACCCACTCCGGGTATTGCACTTCTCTTATGGACCCTATTTTCAAAAGTTTATCCACTTCGTCATTTACTATTTTTGCTCGCTCTACTCCAAGCTTTCTTCTTTTTTGTTTCACAGGTTTGAAGCTCGGATCCACGTTTAGTTCATAACAAATTATACTTGGATTTATGACAGGCATGTCCGCCGCTGACCACACAAACGATGTTTTGTTTTTCCTCAAGAGTTCGATCAAAGCTTCTTTTATTTGGCCAGTCAAAGTTGCCCCAATTCGAATTTTCCGGTCCGGTTTGTCTTCTTCCAACACCACTTCGATTACTACATCATCTTTTTTCTGTCCGCTAGGAAATTTTGATCTTAGTCCCTCTTTTGCGGGCTTCGTTAATTGCTATTGAATCTTCATACGGTGGCTTGCTAGATAACACGTCCGTGAAGCTTCTTGATCTCCCCGAATTGTTTCCACTCCTCTTGATGTTGGAAATTTGATACATTGATGATATGTAGAGGGGACTGCTTTCATTTGATAAATCCAGGGAGTCCCGAGGATGATGTTGTAAGCTGCGGGTTTATCGAAGACAACGAAGTCCACGATCTTCGATACCTTTTTGGCAAGGACCGGTAGCTTGATTGTCCCAAGAGACATGGCTGACTCACTTGTGAATGCAACTAATGGAGACGGAGGTCCTACTATGTCCGCCCGACTAATTCCCATTCTTTCTAAGGTACTTAAAAAGATCAAGTCGACCGAACTGCCTGTATCTATAAGGATCCTTGATACTTCGAAGTTGGCAACGTCAAGGGTAATGACTAGAGCATCATCATGAGGTCTTTCGAGGTGCCGCGTTTCTTCTTCATTAAATGATATTGATGCACCTTGAAAATCGACTTCTTCGCTCAAGCTTGCCTTGAGTAGGACATTTCGTCTATGTTTCTTGATAGAACTTATCGAATCTCGACAAAATTTGGAACCTCCTAGAATAACATTGATCTTACCCTTAAAATTCCTTGGTTCTTCCTCGTTGGTTAACCTTGGTCTTTTGGAATTTTGATCTTCGGAATTTTTCTTTGCTTCGTGGTATTCCTTCACAAAATCTTTTATATCGAATTTGGAAAGATCTCCACTGGCCCAAAGCTCTACGAGGTGCCTTTTAAGAACGCTACAATCCTTGGTTAAATGTCTGGTCACTTTATGAATGTCGCAATATAAACTTTCATCACGGACCCAAGTGTTTGATCTTCCTTTCCCTTGGAATTGCTTTCCGACGGTACTGTTGAAGGGTTGCGACCCAAATTTCTTTGGTCCTTTGTTCTCCCTGGGTTCGAACTTCTTGGTAGGGACGGTGATTGCCGGCTTCTCTTGCTTATTTCTTTTGGCAAAATTTTCTTTTTCGTCCTCTACCTCCATCCAGTTGTTTGCGCGGAAGAGTGCATCCTGAATTGTGTCTGGTTTATGAAGTATTAAATCTTCTTTAAATATTGAATCATGTCGCAATCCTTTTCGTAAGGCAGATAAAGCTGATTGTTGTGAGATTCTTGGGAGCTTTGATAGCACTCCTTTGAACTTGGTGATGAAAACTCGAAGTGATTCATTTGATCCTTGTGATAGGTTCCAAAGATCGGCATCCGAAACGCTTTTATCCATAAGGATGGAATATTGCTTTAAGAATACAGCTGATAGCTCGTCGAAATTGCTGATCGAACCCGGCTCTAATTGGGTGAACCACATTAAAGCTTGGCCGCATAGATTTTCCGAAAAAAGCTTGCAGTAACCTGCGTCCTCATCAGCTTCATCCAATTCGACTCTTCCGGCAGCTATCAGGAAAGCTGCGAGATAGCTCTTTGGATCCTCCAATCCGCTGTAAGGGTCCAACTTGAGCTTCCGGGAATCTTTGATTCTCAAACTCGCAATTCGCAAGATGAAAGGTGTTCGCCTAGCTTCTTCAATGACTCGATTAATATCCGGCTTCGAACTTGTAGCCTGATGGAACTTTGACTTCATTTCTTTTAGTTCTTGGCTAACCTTCCTCATAGTCTCGAACTGGTCGAGGTTTTCCTGCTCGTATTGATCTGCAAGTTGAGCTTCATCTTCGAGCTGTGCCTCTCCATCCAATGGCTGAACTACATTATTAGTAGTACCAGGAGTTGTTTGTCCGCTGGTTTCATTTCGCGCAACGGAACTTGGCGAGTTGAGTATCCTCCTTCGGATTCCCACAGGATTTCCTGCACTTAAAGAGCGAACACGAGTTTGTATAGTATTGACGTTTTGACTAAGAGATACCTGGGATGTTTGCAACGTATCGACAGCCTTTTCCACATCCGAGAACTTTTGTGATATGTCCGACATGGTTTGCTGCATAGCTTTGAGGGTTTCGGCCAATGATGTCTCAACGGCGTCTCCTCCGGACATTGCTGCTTATCTCGGGAATGTAGTAAAGAAAAATCTGACCACTCAAGAATCCTCTGTCCCCACAGACGGCGCCAAAATGTGGATGTCGGATTCACACACTCAAGTATTTTTATTAATAGGGAAGATAATTCTTGAGGGACAAAAATAAGAATGTAAAATGCTTATGAATTGCTACAAAAATTGCTATAGTATTTCTTGCTTCAGAGAACGATCCCCCTTTACATGGCCGTTGGCCTTTATATTTATACATAGAAGAATGACATTTAATGGGCTAATTAAGTACAATTATTCTCTCTTAAATGTGACCGTTTTGATCTTTGACTTTAATGTTAAACGTTCAATTTGAATTGATTCTGATCTTCATGGGCCTCGTCTTTTGGCCCAAATGTCCTTGAACCGATTTAACCATGACTTCGTCTCCGGAGTGGTGTTGAGGTGCAGTCACTTCGGATTCTCCTTATAGTGATAACCACTTCGACTGTTCTTTTGACTTGTGGATCTAATGGGCTTTATCCTTTATGGGCCGTTATCCTGACTAGGTGGCAATCTTTGGTTGGTCCCAAACATCTGGTGCGGGATCCGACACCAACACCCAGGTCAATACAGCCCCGTTCCCCAAGCTTCTCCATGAGACAACCCAGGTTACTCCATGAATCATACCAAAAGGACGTGGTTTCTCCACTCCTTACCTCCACCCGATGAAAATTTTTGGCCATGTCTCGGTACTTAAGCATCTTTCTCCATATCCAAGAGCCGCATGTTGTGTTTTCTTTGACAGTCGCAAGATTATCCGCTTTTACATTTGCTTCTGAAATCTAATACTTCTTCCGTCCCACAAAGATAGATTTTTTAGAAATTTCACATTCTTTAAGAAATAATGTATAATGACAATTTTAACCTTTTAACACATTTTAAAGAGTATATTATTTATTGTTGTTTAATAAAGGTAAAATAGGCAAACTGTTTTAAATTTGACATTGGAAACACAAAACTTCTATCTTTGTGGGATAATTTTTTTTTCTAAAAAATCCATCTTTGTGGGACGGAAGGAGTATTAATTTTTGTCTAGCAAGTTCTTCTTGTTTTCCTTTTTAAAGAAACAAATTTATATAGTAAATATCATTTCCAGGAAGAAAAGCGTTTAATTTTCCTTCATAATTTTGGGTGTAAAAGGAAAACGAATTCAAGCTATATTCAAATGAAATAATATATACATTTTACTTGATAAGATTTTTAAGTTTTACAACAATCTCAAATATTTTGTACTGTCTCAATTTAATCTTTCTTATCTCCTTGTAATTAACTACAAACTTCATCATGTCTATATAAACCTTCTCATCTCACTTTTCTCTTACATGTGAATAATCTAAAGTAAAATAATATTTTATCTTTTCTTTTCTTTCTTCTTCAACCCATGGAGAAATCTCAATCATCATCCGATTCACAAGGCATAAGTCTTATCGTTGATGTAGACCATACTCAAGATCGCATCAGTGATCTCCCAAACGAGATTTTGTGTAAGATCATAGTAAAACTTTCTTTGGACGAAGCTGTGAGAACTATTGTTCTATCAAAACGATTTAAGAGTTTATGGGATTGAGGATAAATGTTGTATCAAAGCTTCTTTTATGGTTTGTAGTTCCTATTATTTTATCTGAATTTCTATTCTCTTGTAATTTGTTTTTATTGCATCTTATTAATAAAAGATATATTTTAGTTAAAAAAAAAAGGCAAAAGATACACTCATTATTATACTTCGAAATACGACAAATCACTAAATTAAGAGCTACTTTTTTCGTTACTTGTTAGATCGATGACGGTCCATTTTCGTTTTTCAATAGTTTCTCTAAAGAATTTTTTGATAAAAAATATACTAATGGATCTGGTTATAAACCGAAGATCTAGGGTTGGTGTTATATAAAAAAAGAAAACTTAAGAACTCATGAATAATTGTAGGATCTTGTATGTTAATTGTTGAAATGCAAAATCAAAACCTAGAAAAATGATTAATACATTTGCTATAGTTTGTGCTCAAATAATAAAAGAAGTAATAACCAGATCTCTTGTTGTTGTTGTTGTTGTTTTACATTTGATTATATTTTTAAATATTCCCGCGTAAACTTATGATAACTGTTAACGGTTTTTTGGCGCGTAAAATGTTATATTTTTTAAATTTTATGATAGATACATTTGAAATCAAATATAGACCGTGAACTTGATATTTTTGTAGTGAATAGAAAATTAGGAAAACATAATATCATGTCTTATTTCACTTAAAATAACTAGGTCAGAATATACGATTTTGGATTAAAAAAAAAAAGATTTTGGAACGTAGGTCAGAATAGAAGATTTTGAATTTAAAAAAAGGAATAAAATACAAGTAATTAATATTTTTTGACAAGATAATGTCAGAAGAATTTGAAATTCAAATGAACTTGGATGGTAAGATAAATTATGGGAAATTTTGGAGTAGAAAATGTTGAATTATCATTCTTATTATTCATTTAAATAATAATTTTGCCTAACAATTTTTCAGTAAAATCTACTATATATTAAAAATAATATTTTAAGAAAAAAATCTCTAGTGTTATCAGATTTAGATCACATCCCATATTAGAAAATGTTATGTAATCCTATTCATTAGTATAATTCACTAATGGAAATTTGAATAAAAGAAAACACAAAGTCAATCAAACCATACCATATAACCAAAAAGAGAATATTGTCTTATCTTATAGTATTTTGAACAAAATGTTGAAGTATTGATGGATTTTATACCTAAAATATTAAATTATTGATCACTTAAAAACCATATTTCGAAATGACAAATATTTCTATCTATGAGAATATAATCAACTCAATAACTTGACTAATAATATGCATAAATTACATTATATAAATGAGATACTATTTAGAGATAATTGGAATAATTTTAATAGTTATTTTACCAGAGATATATTTTAATATAAATTTAAAATATTACTACTGTGCGCTATAATACGGACTAAATCCTCATTATATTATTTTGTTAAACCACCAATATTATAATATTAGAGATGTCAAATAAAGTTGATTTAGGTATAATTTTGTGAAAAACAATTATCCCGAGATATACTGAGGGTTAAATCATAATGTGTTACAATGTATCATTCTCACGTTGTCTTTCTCAATTAAATATTTCAAGTATTTAAAACAGTTTCTCAATTTGCTTATTGCGTCCATGGCCTATTAAGTTCTTAAAAGAATTAATGGATAGTTGAAATATTATCACACACTTGATTTTTACCCATTGATAAGCATCATCATCATCCAAATTTTGTGTGTTGGTTACATTACACAATCATATCTTGCTAATGTAATTGACAATTCAACCAATTTTTGTTTTCTTAAATTCCATGAGACATATATTCAAGCCATTAGAAACATAAATCCAGAAGTGTTATTGTAACCTTCCAAATCTCCCTTATAATTACTATATACACTTGAAAATGTTAGAATTAAAATATCTGAACTCAAATCTGACCTAGGTTCCTAAAGCAATAAAATATAGAAATTTAAAGATTTTGAAAATTATAGAAAGTTTCTAAAAACAAGATTTCTATATTCAGATTCGTAATTATCTGAAATACCCGAACACAAACCTGAGTTTTATTCGTTTGGATTGTTATTTATATATCCAAATTACCATATCATATCTATTTTATCTAAACTAAACATATTTATGTATCAGCTGGTGTTATAATTTGTTTTTAATCTAGCTTGATTTAACAAAATTTATTTTTCTGTCTAAATGATTTTAGGAGAATTTGAATTTAGCTGGATCTAAAAGAATGTTTTATAATCCATTTTAGGAGAATTATTGAATTTAGCTGGATCTAAAAGAATGTTTTCTTAACCCAAATCATGCAATATCAAATGCGCTATAAGTGTCGAAATTAGTTATGTAAGCTAAGTTGGTGGAATAAGGAAGAGAGAGCTTATTTTTCATGATTTTTCTACTCTCCATACTGTTTTTCTCTCTATCTACCATTTAATTCATATTCCACTACTTCATTTTATCTCTTTCGGATGACTTTTCTGAACCACTAGGAATCATCATAGTCCACGATGCTGAAGTCTTCTTGATTCTGTTTTAATTAATTGTTGATAAGATAAGAAGTTAACTTAGAGCATAACACAACATTTGTGTGATGTAGAGATAATGAAGCCAGAATGAGTGATGATCACGTGAATATGATATGAGCAAAATGGCCAATAAGTGGACCATGGAAAAATGAAGCTATGCACATTAGATTTTTTTTTTTTTTTTTCACTGAAAATAAAGATTTCATTGATAGAAATACACTGCTGGATTACAAAGGGTGGATTACAAAAGCCGGCAAGGAACACAATCCTTCCAGAAACTAAGCCGGCGAGCAAATGAAAACTCCCGGAGACAATGACGGAAAACCAAAGGGGAAAAAACCCAAAACAAGTAAAAACACCACATATGAACCAAAACTTCCCAGACTCATGATCCAAAGACTCAAAAATAAAATTACAAAGTCTAAATCGAAAATAAAGAACCAGATCTGAGACAAAGAAACCCACAAACGGAAATGAATCCAAGACTCTCCTTACCACGAACGGCGGTGAGACAAAACAACACCCCGAGACCTAAAGGAAAAGTCTCATGAAGAAAGGAAGGAGATCAAGAACTTGGAAGGTGAGAAAACTACATCTAAGGCGGTGAAGGATCGAATAGAACCTGCCTCTGCCATGGTTGAATCGGCCAGAACTGAAGCTGCAATTGAAATAGACTAAAACAAGCAGCAAAACTCAAAGGAGAAAAGATTTAGACTTTATAATTCTAGATCTGAAAATCTAAATCTGAAACCGTTGGAAGAAAAGGATTTAGACATGATGGAAAGGAAGATAAAACATAACTAAAGCAAAGAAAAAACAAAGACCCCGGTTCCGGTGCTGAAAAAGCCACCGGAACCGTAACCCTAAACCACGGCGGCTGCTGTTCTTTTTAGAGAGAAGAAGAAGCTATGAACATTAGATTATAAAAGAAATTTTTGGAAATTAAGACAAAAAAAAACATGTATAATGGTTGTTGCCTGTTTTTTTATTAGGCCTCTTGATTATAAATAGGAAGAGACCATTGTTTGAACTTTGAAGACTTAGAGCGTGGCAGTGGGTAAGCAGGTGGGTGTGAGTCTTGGGGTGTAAGTATTAAAAAAAACAAAAAAATTGTCTCTCTCTTCACACCCGGGTGTAAGTTTATACTCGGGTGTAACACTTTTTTTCTCTATCTCTCTCTTTCTTTCTCTTTCTCTTTTCTCTTTTGCTTTAAATTATAATACTAAAAAAATACTTACATCCACACAAACACATTTGCCATTGCTGATGGTCTTACACCGACCAGAACAGAAAAATGTCAAACCATGATGTCAATGTCACACTAGAGTGTATTATAAAATATATGTATAGACATTGTGAGAAGTTTGAGGCTGTCGGTGTTAGACGGTTATACGTCGGAGTTTCCGGTGTTACGGAGTTCTGCATGACTAAAATCTAGGTTTGGATAGAGTTCAGTTTAGAGTTAGTATGACTATGAAGAGTCCACGCATAGAAAATAATGGTATATCGGAAGAGATGGACTTGAAATGCGTGTGCAATTGTGTGATTGCTTTTTGTTTCTAGTTGTTTTGTCTTTTGGACGAGTTCCAATTACATGAATGTAGGTTGAACGACCGAACCTTATTACAATTATGTGGATCAATTTATTTTTCATACTTGTATTTATTTACTCATTATAAAAACGAAGATATAGCTAACTCCTAATCTATTTTTTTAGATGTCCGCTAAACCTTCAATCATCCAAACATTTTTTTAGATGTCCATTGTCCAGTAAACAAGTCATTAAGCCTACCGGACATAGCGGACCGACTGTCGGACAGACGTGGGCCCACAAGCCCGAGAGAGGATGTGGATGTTCACTGATAGGGTGGTCGGGGCGTTACAATTGTCATCATCAACACCTATTTTCATGTCAATTTTTTGCTAAAGGAATAAACAAGTTGGTCATAATGTTCAAAATTTTGATCTCACCATCATAATACTTATTGGTCAAACAAACATATGCTCAGAACTTTTGTATTGATGCAGAGGTTACTTTTGTCCTAATGTTACAAAAAAATTGTTACTGTTTTACACCATTATAAATAATCATGTCATGTTCTTTAATTATCAACTTTCATTGTCATTTAATTGTAATTTCGTTAGTTTTAATCTGTCATCTTTTTGTAATTAAATAAAAATTTGTTTCAATACCAATAAAGTTATCCTAAAAATAAAAACAATCCCCTCTAAATAGGGAGTGAGTGAGAGAGTGATAGTTTAGAAAAAAAAAACATCATTTCTTCTCGCACTCTTCACCTGCTCCAATGGACGAAAGACCCGAGACAGAGCTAATATCAATACCAGCGACACCACGAGTTTCAACACCGGAGATTCTAACTCCCTCCGGTCAAAGATCACCTCGTCCGGCCACCAAACCATCGTCGGCGACATGGACTCCGACTTCTTTCATATCTCCGAGGTTCTTGAGTCCGATTGGTACACCGATGAAACGAGTTCTTGTGAACATGAAAGGGTATCTTGAAGAAGTTGGTCATCTTACTAAGCTAAACCCACAAGATGCTTGGCTTCCAATCACTGAGTCTCGTAATGGAAACGCTCATTACGCTGCGTTTCACAATCTAAACGCTGGTGTTGGTTTCCAAGCCCTTGTTCTTCCCGTCGCGTTTGCGTTTCTTGGCTGGTGCGTTTGCGTTTTTCTTGATTTTTCCAATAAATATTTTTCTTGTTTTTGAGTTTTTTTCTTGAAGTTTGTGTTTAGTCTTTTTTTCAAGATTATTTTTTATTAGTGAACGGCGAGGGTTCAACTCTCTGTAGTGTTCAGATCCAATTTCAGGGTTTACTTTACATTTTTGGGCAAAAATCAAAAATGTTTTTTCTTTTTCTTGTCGGAAATAATAATATATTGACTAATTCACTTTTTTTTAACTTTGGAAACATTGAGATTCTTGCAGTAGAGATTTTGGTTTTCTTATTTTCTTTAATTTGTCATGCTTCCATCATTACTCATGTGGATACTCACAGACATACTTTTTGCTTTAATTTGGATTAAGACAGAGCCTTCTTTATCGTCTATTTTGTTTCTTGTTAATTTCCGGCAAATTTACATTTATTATATAATTTATTCTTCTTTTTTCTGGTATATAGTAGGTACTAATGTAATTGACAGTCAAAAAGGATAAAACGTTATGCATTATTGTTGCAAGTTTAAACATTTGAAGTATAACTTGTTATAGTTTTGGTGACAAAAAAATAAAATAATAAGTTGTTACAGCTTTAAGGTTGAGAATTTTTATTGGTTAGTTCAATGGCTTAGCTTAGTTATGGATATTTGTTATTGCGATCAAGTAATTAAGATTGTTATTTAAGAAGTGAATTATTGTTGTTACAGGAGTTGGGGAATACTATCCTTGACAATAGCTTATTGTTGGCAACTCTACACACTGTGGATTCTAGTTCAGTTGCACGAAGCTGTCCCCGGGAAGCGCTACAATCGATATGTCGAGCTTGCACAAGCTGCATTTGGTAAGAAGATAAATAACAAATTGAGTTATAAGAAATTGTTTCATTGATACTAACTTTGTGTCCTGCTATTGCTAAAGTCTTGGACTCTTGATTGGAACAGGAGAAAGGTTGGGAGTTTGGCTTGCACTGTTTCCTACGGTTTACTTATCAGCAGGAACCGCGACAGCGCTGATTCTGATTGGTGGAGAGACAATGAAACTCTTCTTCCAAATAGTTTGCGGTCCATTATGCACCTCGAACCCGTTAACAACAGTCGAATGGTATTTGGTGTTTACATCTCTGTGCATCGTTCTGTCTCAGCTTCCAAACCTCAATTCGATTGCGGGACTCTCCTTAATAGGAGCAGTGACTGCAATAACTTACTCCACAATGGTTTGGGTTCTCTCTGTGAGCCAACCAAGACCAGCCACTATCTCATACGAGCCTCTTTCTATGCCTTCGACTTCTGGTTCACTCTTCGCTGTTTTGAATGCTCTTGGCATTATAGCTTTTGCCTTCAGAGGTCACAACTTGGTTCTGGAAATTCAGGTAAAAATGCAAAATGTTTCTGTCTATAGATAATGCACATGTTGACTTGTCACTTGTGACTTATTCTGAGTTTTGAACACTTTGTAGTCGACGATGCCATCAACGTTTAAGCATCCAGCTCATGTACCAATGTGGAGAGGAGCGAAAATTTCTTACTTCTTCATTGCTCTGTGTATCTTTCCAATCTCCATTGGAGGCTTTTGGGCTTATGGGAACCTTGTAAGTTCCATTTACTATATCCTTGGTCTATGTCTTGTCAATAAAGGATGTTTAATCTGGTGTTTTGTTCATGTTTGTGAAATATAGAATCCGAATGGAACACTAATATCATTTATTTATGGTTTGGCCTAGGATTTTTAAGCAAAATGTATCAAAGAATTTATATTTTAAGAAACCAAAATAGTTTATTTCCTGATCTTTGACTCGGTTTCCGATTGGTTTATGTAAATTATTCTTGGTCTTACAGATGCCTTCAGGAGGTATGCTTGCTGCTTTATATGCATTCCACATTCACGACATTCCGAGAGGCTTATTAGCGACGGCATTTCTCCTAGTAGTCTTCAGCTGTCTGAGCAGTTTTCAGATATACTCTATGCCGGCTTTTGACAGCTTTGAGGCTGGCTACACAAGCAGAACCAACAAGCCGTGTTCGATCTGGGTCAGATCAGGTTTCCGAGTCTTTTTCGGTTTCGTCTCGTTTTTCATCGGTGTTGCTCTCCCTTTCCTATCTAGTCTCGCGGGTTTACTCGGTGGACTCACGCTCCCGGTCACATTTGCTTATCCTTGCTTCATGTGGGTCTTGATTAAGAAACCGGCGAAATACAGTTTCAATTGGTATTTCCACTGGGGATTAGGTTGGTTGGGAGTTGCATTCAGCTTGGCATTCTCCATAGGTGGGATTTGGAGTATGGTTACCAATGGACTTAAGCTCAAGTTCTTCAAGCCGCCTAACTAAGTAGTAATATCCTATATGGTGGTTTTGTTTGGTTGGCAAGTTTGATGTTTTAAGAGATTTTGTATTATTATCTCATTATATGTGTTTTGTTTAAGAGTGCCTTTGTTTTGAAGTTGGAACAATGTAATGTGTATTGTATTCACTAAGGTTTTTCTCAACGCAGTGTTCTTTTTTTTCACCATACTTCAAACTATTTATGTCTACTTATATACTATGCTCATTCATTTAAGGAGTTTTCACATATATTCAGTTCAACCAATAATAAAAGAGAAAAATCATATTACATTTTTATATTAGTTTCCAAGTCTAGTTGTAAAATTTTATTTTAATTAATAACAGAATTGAAAATATCGTTAATTTTATTTAAAAAGAACAACTAAAGCAGCATTTAAACATTATTTTATGTGTTTAAATGCGACGTAATTTTTTTGACGACATTTCTAATAATGTTTTAAAAAAAAAATTAAAGGTGTAACTGTAAACATAAGTACTATGATATGATTATTATAAACTAAGCTAAATGATTTGTTCAAGTATTTTTTTTATAAAAATCCAAAAATGTATATTTATGACAATAATCTGCTCTTATACAAATCTTACTCCATATGTTGCGTTTACGTTCACCAATTTGTGAATGTAACAAATTGCCCCCAATAATTAAATACTTGTTATCTAAAAATTGGTAGGTATGTTTGTTTTGTAAAGATTTACTTTTGTTACTCTGTTAAGTATAAACGCTTTTGGGGATGTGCCTTTAGTCAAGTGGTTAAGTCCATTTGACTACATCTTCCACATA